TAAATGAAAATGTACAATCCTGAATACTCAAGACTATATAGAAAAAATTCTTTCTCAAAAAATAAAAATAAATAAATAAAATTAATTTACCAAAAATAAATAAATAGAAGTAACTTCTCTAAAAAATGGAATTGATTTAAGATGTTTTTTCCGCTTTGCCCGTCTTAAGAAACAAAAGTGAGCAAAGCAACCATAAAAAACTCATTTGTGTAGCTAACGAGCATCCATTAGTCAAAATGGGAGCCACATTAGGCACAAGACTTGCTGAAAAAAAAAAATACTTATACAAGTACAGATGCCGCCCAATCAGCCAATAAATAAGGCAATATATGGACGATAAGCATATATTTACTACAAGAAATGTCTACCCATAACAATAATTCAAAATGGGCTTCCTTATGGCATCGTGCAGTAGAAACGCCGCCCCATACGCTAAACAACAAAAATATGGCTAATTTATTTATTTTATTTTTTTAAGTAGAAGCAGAAGATACGACGTCAGAAGCGTAAAATTACCCATGTAACGGCAATAGCTAGAAGGAAAATCGATTGCAAAAAACAATCTACAAAAAAGTAAAATTTTTTCGCTGGAAAATCGAAACACAAATTGAACATCATGTAAATTGTCCTATTTCAGCTCAGCAGCCAGCGGCATAAATTGCCAATTAAATAACCTAACATATGATTCTAAAAATAAAACAAATAAATAAATTTATATCGGGTATATTTCAACTAATTGGTTGAAAAAGTGGGCAAAATTCTACAATATGATGCGACACATGAACATAATATTTATGTCAAAAAAAGTGAATTAAAATCAATTTGTTATTATTTTTTAACATATCTACATTTTTAATTTGCATATTTCTATTTAATTGTTTTTTTTTTTTAGCTCATTTCTGTAACAAGAAAGAATTGCAAAATTAAAACAAGAACGAAAATGTTTGTTTACAAACGCGATGCGGTTTGCTAGTCACCACGGCAATTTATTGTTTAAATCAATATATTTTTTTAATAAAAATCAATTTACAACTGGCATATTTGAATCGCAATTTACATCTACATTTCATGAATTTTATTAAATAAATATATTGTTGTCAAAAGTGGACCCGAATACATTTTCTGTAGAAATTTGCAGAAGAAAATTAATATTTATGAAGTAATATTTGTATAATAAATCAAAAGTAAAAGCATGACTTCTATTTAAACATAAACAGCTTAAGACTCCAATAACAAAATGATAATATTTCCCTATAGCAAATATCTTTCTATTCATATTTGTATTTGCACATCCCTCTAAATTTCCAACCTAACTTTATTAGTCAACGAAAATGCACTTTCCTTTCGCCAAAATAAAAGCTGCCGCAATAAAACACTTTTTTTTTTCAAATAACATTCTAGCCATAGTGTTAAAATGAGAAATGGTAAATGCGCCTCAGCCACAAGCAGCCATAAATGAATTGCATTCATTTCAAATATCACTTAAACACGCATTCAATTCTCAAACAATTTTTCACCTGCTGCGAACTTTTAGCCCTTTAGCCAAAAGGTAGCTAATAAACATAGCTATTAAGTTGGTCTAATGCCAAACACTTTCACTTTTTGCCACAGCACTGCTGCCTGCTTTCTCGCACACACACTCTCTCTCTCTCTCACACTCTCTAGGCTTGCTTCTATCGGGCGCTGCAATCGGCTGGTATTTTTATGCTGATTAGCTACGTTAACAATTTGCAGCACGCGAAACTATTTCAACAATTTCGGTGGAGCAAGAACTTGTGGCATAAATCGCCGCAGCGCCAAAATGAAAAGAAAAGAAGAAGAAAATATGTAGTCTTTGTGCCAGTGTCGGCTTAAGCCGCGAGTCAGTACAAAATTTTAATAAGCCAAGTCCAAAGCCTGTGAAAGTATTCGTAATAGAGGCAAAAGTGCATGCGGCGCACACGCGACTTGGTAATATTAAGAAAATGGCAGCCATTAAAACCACGCACTCACACATATGCACACACACACCACACACACACGCTTACAGTGCTTGTTATAATGCAGTCAAGGACATTTAGAAGGAGCAAAAAATGCGAAATGTATGCAAAAACATTTATATATTTATATACATATAAATACGTACATATATGTATGTATAAACCATAAAGGAAGTATCACAAAAAAAAATAAAAATGGCAAAAAACTGAGAGCGAAATATAAATGTCAAACGGAAATGACGAGAAAATAGTATGCAATAAAATGTGTTTTACGCAGAGCGCTGCAGACGCCTGTGGAAATGTGGGCAGCAGGAAGTCGTATTCATATGTGGTTTAAATTGAGTTTCATTTTTTGTTACATACATTTCATTTTTCTCGTTTTTATCTATGTGTTTTCAGTGTGGGCAAATGTGAAACTTGTGTTTGCAACAAAATAGACTTTTTAATAGAGGCAAATGATAAAAAAAAAAAAAAAAAAAAAAAAAAAAATATTTTTAAAGCCCATTGCTTGTCTTTTATTTTTAAAGCTTCAGCTATGTGCAGCTCATTTTTGTGTTTATCAAATAAATCTAAACTAATTGTCTATAGGCAAATGTATACCAAATAAATTGAAACCCAAAAATTTTAGAATGCCCAAATTGATTTGAGCCAATTGATTGAATGCAATGTTTGTGTAAAGAACTTTAGTTTAAATTTAACTATTTAAGAGCAAACATAAATACAAAATATATAGTATAATGAAATACTCAATACTATCATTAAGCAAACATTTTAAAAGACCAAAACATGAATATTTATAAATCTTTCATTATAACTTTTTCGTCTCTTTTTAGCTTTATCTAAATATTATTCATTCTTCATTGTATCTAATTACTATTTATTATTATTATTGCTATAACTCTTCTTCAAATTTACAAAAAAAAAAAAAAAAAAAATTGTTCCTTTCTTTAAGCAATATTGATCTTTTTTTTATAAAAGAATTTTTAAAAATAAAGGCTTTAACAAAATTTTTGTACGCTCTCTTCTCCACAAAACACACATTGAAAGAGTAAGAGTAGGTAAAATTCCAGATAACAAACTAAAGGCAGCTCTATTCATACGCTTCACTTGGCCACTTTTTGCAAATAATATTTTTCGCTTTTGTCATGCATAAAATCATCATATATCTTTCAACTACAAGTCTTGTGAGTGCGAACTGAATCAGCGAGCTCGTTGCGAGTCAGAGCCAAGAGCTTCTTGAACTCAAATGTACAAAGAAAGAGAGAGAGAGAGAAGTGGAGTGAGAGAGATAGAGCACATTCAGCCACAGCGAAAAGTGACAAACATGTAAGGCAAACAAATGTGTATTTCATACATGACCGGAGGGCAGGAGAAGGAGTCTCCGAGCTCCCCTCCAATCGCCTGGCATAGAACGCAGGGAGATGCACCTCTGTCAGATAAGTGAGGAGAGCATTCTCTGGCCCGCAGGTGACAAGTTAAACGTCTTGTAAGCATTTGCATTTTCAGTGCTCCCAAAAAAGAATACAAATAATACCGAGAAGAAAAATAAAGATAATAAATAAAATATATAGAGTAGATACACCAAGCCCTCTGCCATGATATACGCAAAATTTTGCTAAAAGTAAATAAATAAATAGCTCAAGAAAGAAAGACAACAAGCCATAGCATTAGGCACATCCTTTATCTGCAGTTCATTTCGAGGACATCAAAGGGGTTTCTCTTGCTCTTGTTGTTGGCCATGGCTTAAGGCATATTTGATTATGTCATGAAATATGCTGAAGGATCTAGACGCCCCCCTGTTTGCCAACCAAAAGATAAATTTCAGAAATATGCAAATATACAAAGAGCCTCACACATGCTATGAAAAAGTGTTTGAAGACCTGTTACGAATTATTATGATAACATTTTTAATATGAAAATTTTAGGTCATAACAAAGACAAGACAAAGAGCCAATTGAAATTCCTCAATATGCTTTAATGGCTAAAAAGTAAAAGCTTTTCTGATCTGCATGCAAATGTTATTCGGCCCAATTGCATATTTATTATTTTGGATAAAACCAAATATGTTAGTCCTTAGATGTTTATCGAGTATGTAGGTAACATATTTGTGAAAAATGTTTAACTATTTTTAGAAAGCAAATAAAATTGGATTTTTGAGTCGATGAAGAAAGTGAAAAGCAATTGCTACACTGATGTTATTTCATTATAACAAAAATTATATTTATATATTTAATGTTATACGCAAAGGGAATTTTTGGAAATGTATACATTTGCATTTTTGAAATTTCAGCAGGATATTTTTTATTCATTTTATTGAATGTTGACTTATTTTTATTATTTATTTCAAACATATATATAGATTATAGTATATATAAATTATTATATGTAAATAAACTTCTACAGTTCAGTTTTAAACTTTGATAGATTTCAATTTAAAAATTTGTATATTTGTCTTTTAAATACGACTTTAGGAAATTTAAAAAAAAAAATATATATATATATATATATATATTTATAGACAGTTGAATAGTTTTTGTAATGAGCCCGTACAGAATAATGAAACAAAAGGACAAACAACAAAAAATTTAAACAAAACAAAATATTTTTCAAATTTTAAACATTAATCTATAATCTAGTCTAGATGTATTTGGTTAAAACTGTTATTTCGTAACATTTTTAAAGCTGTTCTATGGTTAGCACATTAGTTCATTATTTTTCAATATGATTGAATATATTGTAAATTCAATATGAATATTAAATGAATATTCAGCTTGCTGCTTATTGTAGATAATTAATTTAACATTATAAATGTATATATACATATCAACATATATTCAATATTCCTGTCATAATTAAAAGCACTCGTAATACTTCCATAATCTCTCCTTAACATCAACTTTTCCCCAACCCCCCCACTGTGTCTGTGTCCCGCTCAGACCTGCTCAACGGACCACAAATTTCAATCAATTAATCATTGAGAAGCCCATTGAAACAAGCTCATTAAATTATCAAAGTACTTACCCTTTGAAGGTATCTCGGCACGAGTGGGCGTGGCAGTCATCATTAAGAGCACTATGGCCACGATGTTGATAATGTGTAGAGCAACGCCAGCCAAACGCCCATTGGCCGGTGGGCGTGGCCGTACATGTCGCAGTGCAACGAGTCCAAACATTTTTGCGATAAATCTCTGAAATGGGCAATAGGCGAAATTGTACACGAAAATGGCAGAAACACTTGATTAGGGGTGGGGTAGGGTATGGTTAGGGTTGGTAAAGGGGTAAAGGTAAAGGGGTGGCCGCACAGCACAAGAGTAGGGTGCACGCACGCTGCGGCTCGAGCTGCACCTGGGGGGCGCTGCCCGCGCAGCTAGCCCACCAAACAGTTTCACCTTTAATCACTTAAATGGCGCGTAATCATCGGCAACAACAACAACAACAGCGACAACAACATTGCAATCAACACTAGTGCCATTGAAATTGAGCGTCATGATGTTGTCGAGCCTGATGACGTGCGGGCTTCCCAGCACTTAACGGCAAATGTGGAAAATATAGAGACCCAACACCCAAACACCCGCCCTACTCGTCCCCCCTTTTCTATCGACCGCAAACGGACCGGATCCCGAATGCGTAGCGTTTTGCGAGCTGAAGTCAAAAATGTTGCTCATGCCCCTTCCCTAGGTAAGGGTATTTCGACGATGTGATTAAGTGCGTAGCCGAGCAGGGAATTCGCTTGTATCCTTTGGATACTTTAGTGGATGTGGAAGTAGTTGAACAAATTCAGTATAACCTCAAAATATTTGGAGTTCACTATTTCAACTATTCCTTTAAGCGATCTTTAATGCAAATGCCAAGACCAAAGTCTGACATTTATTGCTTTTGTTGACTATTCCTGAGATAGTCCTTTCATCAAAGTCTCTAGTTAATAATATATCTAATGCTAATTGAGAACATGGAATCTATAATATATTGCTAAATATTCTATAAAATTTTAAACATCTTTGGATTTATTGATTATTATTATTATTATTTTATTACTCTTTTCATTAATATTATTTAAACAATTAATTGATATTTTATTGTTATTTATAAAATAAATTAAAATAAAGATATTAATCAGTATACTTTAAGGTGAAGACAGCTTTTTAACACTGAAACGAATTGTCGTTGAGCATATATTAAAATAAAATAATTCAACATATATGTATATATATTATCTCTTCATGTCTTCACGTCTGTAACTCATAGAATATAATAATATGCACATATAAATTTAATTTGAAAGTACTTTAGGCTTGCTTGTCTAAGTTTGCGGATCATACAAAAATGTTTATCAATTCCAAATGATAATATTCGTAGAAAATTTTGCTAGATCTGTATCAGTCCATCCAATATTTTAGAATTATATAATATAAGTAAAAAAAACTTTAATAATTTTATAACCGATAAATTTCTTTATTACTCTTTTACATTTTCTAGAGTATTCAAAATCCGTCGGGATATTCTTTCTCCACTTTGTTGTTGCTGCTACATAGTTGGGCTGTAGCTTTCTGACTTTGGCAACGTTTGTTTGTTTGTTTTGTTGTTGTGCAGGCAATGGGGTCTGAGTGGGGCCTCAGCAGGGGGGAGGGCACGGACAGTTGGGCTGTCGTCGAGTTGGCCAAGTAGATTTTGAGGCGTTGTTTTGACGTGTTTGCTACGCGGCTGGTGCGGCAGAGGGCAGAAGGCAGGACGCAGGAGGGCCGGTGCCTTGGCGAGGTAACTTAGTTGTTGCCGTCGAGATTAAGTTAAGACAATTAAATGAAATATGCTTAGACAGCATTTAGACAGTAATTTGATTTTGTGCCTTGCCTTTGATTGTTCAACCTTCAGTGTTTCGGTGCGGCAGCTGCGGGGGCTGCGCTTTAAAGTCTTTGAGAATATTTGCGGTATTCTGTGAGCAGTTATTGATGTTTTAACTCGACTAATGTCTTACATAAGCAGTTGTGGGTGTGTGAATCACTTAAGGCAATAAAAGCTTAGAGCATTTAAAGGCAAAATTCCAACAAAGATATTGTAGAAAACCATGGTTCAACCTCTACATTTTAGCACAATAAAAATATCATGACTAACAATATTTGATTATTAAAATAACTATCGATAATTTAATAAGTTCTTGAACTGGGTTTCTTTTAATGTCTACAAAAAATTATTTTAATATTTTTTTATTATTTATTTTTATTTATTATTTTAATAATTTTCAAATCATAATAAACAAGATAACCTAATCCAAATGAAAAGGTTTTCTAAAAAATATTCTAGCGTTTTTACAATTATAAAAAAAAAAAAAAAAAAAAAAAAAATAATTTAAATTTACATAAATTTTGTATTCACAATTATTATATAAAGTTTGTTTATGAAACTGTTTTATTAAAGCTTGTGTTTCTATTTTCAAAAATGAATTGTTAAGAATATAAAATATTCTAAGAATTGTTTCAGCTTAATTTTTTTTTTTTTTTTTTAAACTTTATAAACTGTAAATAATATTTCTATATAAAAAATTTTGCTTAAGCTCTTAAAACTACTATAATTCGATAATTTATTTTAAAATATTTTCAAGGAATTTATATTTCCTGAAAATATCGCAATAAAGTCATTATTTTATCTCTCAAAGTTTTTGCTAATTTGTTGGTTTTGTGCAATAAATGTGAAGCTATAAATCCAGCTAACTTCTTGGCAAGAACATAAAGAAAAACTTTTAATTGTTTGATTTAAAAGCTAACAAAAAAGGAACAAACAAATGAACAAAAAAACTATAAATAACAAAAAAAAATAAAAAAATAAAGCAAAAAAGAAGCGAAAAAAAACTGCCTGCAGACATATTTCAGTTGTCTTCAATTTGCGATGTCAAACTGTCGACGAATGTTTTGTGTGTTTGTTCGCACAGAGCTCGAATCAAGTTTGACAAATGAAATGATTACACAAAGTAAACAGAAAACACGTTGAGCAAACCACCTGTCAGACAGCTGGCAGCACAAGCGAAGCAAAAGCAAAGCCAAAGAAGGAAAAAGGAAAACACTAGCCGAAACTCAAAACGAAAATTCGTCGAGAGTGGGGAAAACAGCCAACGGGCAGCAAAGGCGACAGCTGCAAACATGGCAGCATTTTACAAGCGGAAAGCCAAAGGAATATTATAAGCAACAACAATAACAAAAGGAGCACCAACAACAACAAAAGCAACAACTATAGCAAGTGGGATAAACGACAGCCGGCAGCCAAAATGCCAAAGCCGAAACGAACCGCATCACATCGCATCGCAGTGCAGCGCGCCCGAATGCCAACAAAATGGCAATGGTAACACTTCCGCTTCCGGCGCTGCGGGCGTTGTTGACGACGTTGTTGCACAGTTGGCAAAACGTTGCACGTTAAGCAAACTGTAGTCAAAGGCGATGTGCCAACAGGCAACAGCAACGGCAACGACACGAGGCACGCAGGACGACAGGACGGACGACGGACGACGGCGGAACACAACAAAGCTTGTTAGTGCGGCTCCCCGTTGACAAAAAACAACAACAACAACAACGGCAGCAAATGCAACCATAACAAATTTTTGGCAGCCCTTTGGGGTGAAGTGATATACTAAGACATACCCTACATTATCTAAGAAATGTATTTCTTTTGAAATACTTGCAGATTCTTAAAATATTATTCAACATAATAAAATGATTTAGCTTGCATAAGCCATACAGAAGTTCAAAAATAAAAATGGCTCAACCCACATACTTAAAGGGGGTCCTGATTATATAATGCATTAGAATTAGATTTCAGATTAACGTATTCCCTAAGTTAGCTTCAGCATTCAAGGCTGATTTCGATTTTAAAACTGAGAAACAGTCCTACAATATGTTAATTTTCAATAGACAAATCAGTTTACATCAAACATAAATTTAAAAAATAAATAAATTATAATAATAATAGTATTCAATATGAATAGATAAACAAATAAAAAAATCAATTTAAAAATATATTATTAATAAAAAGAAAATTGTAATATTTTGATCTTTGTATACTAAATGGGTTAAAAAAATATAGGCTGATTTCTTAGCTGAATATTTAAAAAATAAATATTGGAGTCTTGATATATAATAATTTAATGTTTATATTTCAGTATTATTTTATTTTTTATTTCTTCTGTTACTGGTTTATTTTTTACTATATAATAAAAATAATATTAAAAGAAACTCAAAATTTATGACGGCAATTTGTGTATTGCAGTATTTAATTAAGATTTTTAACTAAAAAAAAAAAACAAATAAATAAATAAATTACTTATGTATATAATGAAGAGAAAAATTGCAAAATATAATTTTTTTAAATTGCCAGTCGACCAGTAATAAAATACTAAAATAAAACCCGTCATTGTTGAATTTTTTATGCGAGGTATGAAAACAAAAGACCCTTGGGCTTGATGTAGGTAAAAAAAAAAGAGAGTCAGACATAAACAATGGCGACGAAACGTACAAAAAATGTTAAACGCTTTTAATATTAAAGCGTGGGGATAGAGACACAAAAGCGGCTGACGCGCAAGACCCCAGCTTCGCCAACAAAGTGCAACACGGCAGCAGGAGCAGTAACAGCAACAACAGCAACAGGAGCAAAAGCAACAACAACAAAAATCTGTGGTGCCTTGCAAAAAGCCGCGAATATTTAAAAATACCTGGAAAAATATTAACAAGAAAATGAAAATTTTAAACAAATATATAGGCAAGACGAAAATTCAATACTCTTGTAACATAGATGACTTAGAAGTATTCCAAGTATTGACTGTAATTTACATTTGAAAAGGACTATAGTTATAGTTAGTCAATGTTAAAAGTTTGTTAAAAGTAAGAGAAAAAAAAACATTTTCACTTGATTTTTTGACAAAGAAGGTAATCAATCTTCTCTAATTTGAATCAAAACTTTGAACTTCAAAATTAAAGATTGGTATGTTTATAAAATGGAAACATGACTGCTTCCCCTACTTCTCGAAGAATACACACATCATAAAACTACGATTTTTAAGGTATTAATAAAGTTATGAGGAGTACAGAACTTATCTAAATTTTACTCCAATCAAGATCCTAAAAATGTGCATAAAGTGTATATAATAATGATACTCAAATAATATAAAAAGTTTGATTTAAATATCTGAATAGTTCATACAGATATAAATAATATATAAAGACTGCAAATTTTACTAATCATCATTAATCATTTCATTGCGAAACCAAGTTCCTTTGTATTTTATTTTATGCCAGAGTCAACTTTTAGACCTGTTCTATCGCTATTTATTATGCATGAAATTCCAAATTCCTGCAGTTTTTCAACTTCACACATTTTGTGGCAATATTTACAAGCTGCCTCCATCACATAGAGTATATCGCAATAAAGCAATGCAAAAAGTCCTCAGCTAAAGCCACTGCTGGAGTGTGCGCTGCGAAATTTCTCAAAACAAGGAGCTGGGACAGCTGGGACTGCTGGGACTGCTGGGACTGCTGGGACTGCAGTTCTTGTCTTGGCCAGTTGCCCGCTGCTGCTGTTCGCTGTTGCCTCTTCGTGACGAAAATGCTTCGCTTAACTGGATTTTCAAATATTTATTGCAACAAATTATTTTGCTGGTTACAAGTCTAACCGACTTCCACTAACCCCTGACGCCTGAGAGAGTGCTTTTTATGGCCATTTAGTTTGTATCGTTGCATTGCCTGGATTTGCAGTTGGGTTTGCTTATATTTTGTATTCTCTGCCTTTTTACCACTGCGGCTTTTTGCACAATTGCCAACAAATTAGGGTTTTACAAATACAAATAAATATAAATATAAATGCATTTTATTTGACAAACATATAATTGGGAGATATGAAATCAAGATTTTTCTATTAAAGTCCAAATAAGTATTTAACAAAACTGCATAAAATACAACACATAAAACTTTTCAAAGTGAATTACAAAAATAGAAGAATTGCAATTTTTACAAATATTAATACAATTAAAATATTCAAGTTTTTTTTTTTGCCTATGAAATAAATAAGATTTGTAATATTAAAATTGTATTAATATTGCATATATTACGATTTTTTTATCATTAACAGTTTTGCTAACTTTTTGCACTAGCATTAGCATTTAAAAATTATTTTTGTTATAAAAGTTGCTTGCATTCTAATTATATATATGTATATGAAATTGATATATAAAAACATCAAGCCAATGCTTTATTTTATTAGTTAGTTTTAATTTTATATTAGTTATAGCTTCTTGATAAATAAATTAATTAAAAACTTTCGTTTAATATAAGCTGACATTTTCTTCTAAAAATTAGGTACTAAGTTTTTTTACTTTGGATAAGTCCATAAGTTTTTATCTTCACTTTATGTATATCATCAAAGCCCCTAGTATTTATAAGAGAAAAATTAGATTTCATATTAAGATTCTTTAGGATTTTAAGCACAATTTTGATGTGTTGAGACAAATCCTTTTTTTTAAGAGTAATTGCATAGTATTTCGGGATCGAGAGAGTTGATAAGTATCAGCGATGCTCAAGATATAGGTCGATAAATAAAATAATATATTATTATAATATTAAATTATATATATAATATGTTATAATTTTTGTTTATTTCATTCATTAAATACAAAACTCTTTTCTATAGATTTTGCGCTTTTCAGTTCGCGTATCCTCATCACATTCATCTAAATCAGTTTTCCAAGAAAAGTCTTACAAACAAACAAAAACAAACAAGAAACAACGTCGTCAGTAAGCAAAAAAACGAGACTTATTCCATTTGCAATTAACAAATCAACTGAGACAGAGCAAAAAAGAGAGAGAGATAGAGGGAAGTGAGAGTTTGTAAGAAATACATTCTAATTACATCAAATTAAGCACACAAACACACATACACGCTGCTGGTGAAGTTGATTAACGGTATCGCCGGCACGACGCGTCTGCTGCAATTGCTATGCCCGAGAGAGTGGGGGAACTAACGGTGGGCAAACTTTCACTTGATGCGTTCAGAACTTTTGTGAAGAGAGCTGCCAGTGGCTGGCAATCGACAACGACAACACTGACGACAGTGACAACGGCAACGACAACGACGATGGCGATAACAGTAAAAACAACGCGACGAACAACATTTCGTTTCAAATCGTTTTCCAGCGGTAAATGGTAAGCACATAAAATCACGTAAACAACTCGCAAAATAACGGCAATACGCGCGCGGCTATACAGTTAGACAGTTTAGTATTTTTTTGGTTAAACGGCGTGTATACTGAACGCCGAACCATCCGCACAGAAGGACAACCGATGTACGACTAAATGCCAATGGCGTTGACTCGATTGGTGGAACGCCTGGGCCGAGCTCAAAGCTTCGCTCCAATTCGTTCGCTGTTCGGCTCACACTCGGCTTTTCGAACTTCGAAACGGCTTGAGCAAGAGCACGAAACGAAGAGCGTCACTGGAAGTGTTCATTTCACTCAAAATGAATCTAGGCGACGTATGAGCGTGTGTATGTATGTGGCTGACAGTGCGTGGGTGTGTGTGTGTGCCTTAATAGTGGCTGAGCGACTCGAGGCGAGTGGCCGTGAGGCTGTCAAGTGTTTGGTTTAGTTGCTTAGTGCGTTGATAGGCGCGCTGGGCGCTAAGCTCGCGGCACCGACAAAGTTGATTGGTTGCCTTTTGCCCTTGCTTCTGCTTTTTCTTCCAGTAGCAGAAGTCTTCACATTTCCGTTGTGGTAACGGAACAGTAATTAAGAGGCTTCATAAGGTGCATAGAAGAAATCGAATAGGAATTTATGCAGATTTGTTAAATGAGGCAATAGAAAAGCGCTAGAGCAAAAAATCTCTTCAGTATTTAGTTCAAAATGAAAATAATGAATTAAATAATTATTTGAAAATTATATGTTTGAAAATAGAAGTAATAAAAATTATATTTATTCAAAACAAAGATATCTCAATTATATGTAATTGTAATACGTTTCCTTTTATAAATAAGGGAATAATAACACATTTATATATATTTATAATTAAAATTTTCTTTTTAACAGGCGGCAAAGGTTGTCATGGAATAAATATATCTTGAGGAAATGATTGCACATACATAATTAACGAATATGAATAAATAGTATTAAAAAAATCACTTATATCTATATATCTTTCTACTGGTCGCTTTATCTATTTATCAATTAATCTATCTATTTTATTAACTAGCTCATTTTTACAATATCTATCAAAATGTTTCTAATTACAAATCGCAGAGATTCAATATCCTTAACAGCAACATCAACTCTTTTTTTCACTTTACCAAACTTTCCAACCTTTTGCCACACTTTCCAGGAACATTGAACTAGTTCTGCTCAACTACCTGAAACCCTTTCCAAACATCAGCTATTCAGTTTCACTATTAACAAAGGCAGCCTTCAACAGCTAAGCCACTCTTCACGTAGTCAAATTAACACGCAGACTAAAAAAACTAAAAAAATAACTGCATAAATTGGCTTATCTGCAAAAGCACACAAAAATGGTTGTTGTTGTTGTTGTTGTTGTCGGGCTCTTTGTGCTTAGTATATGTCAAAGGCAGCAACCAACAACAACAACTACAACAATAGCAGCAGCAGCAGAAGCAGCAGCAACAGCAGCAAGTGGCAAAACGGTCAACCACAATAAAATTATTCCACATACGCAACGTTGGCTCCTGGCATCATTTAGATAAACATAGCTGGAAACAGAAATAATAATAAAAAAAAGAAACTTAAGGCCAAAGGCAAGCTGGGAGCTGACCAAAGCTAAGCTGGACACTTTAAAAACTGTATAGCTATAAATAAATACATATATACATATTCATTTACTGAAATGACTGAAAACTTAAAAATAAACATAGAAAACAAAAATGTATATACAGACTGAATATACAAATAAGTATATATACATCTGATATAAATGTATATATATTTAGATCATCGTACATCATATTTATCATAAACATTTTTGCAAATCTTCAAGGACGTCTATCTACTTGGCCGAACGGCATGCGGCAACAGTTTAAGCCCCGTTGCTCGGCCCATCATTTTTCACCAGCAGCAACGGAAAGCCGTTTCGTGTTGATGATGACGATGATGATGGCAACCGAAAACGTTGACAAACGTCACAGCTGGAGGACTACGAGGCAGGAGAGCCGAATACAAAAGGTCAAACTGGCTGAAACTGACCCCCGTTGATAAACATTTAAGACTTGTGTGGGTCTATCTATATGTACATGTGTGTGTGTGGGCAGTTATTTCATATCCATTTCAAAGCGCATTAACACAGGATATTTAAAGTTTAGCACAAAATCTGACTATTTGTGGAATACAAAAAAAAAAAAAAAAGGAAAATAACTAAAAGATTGTTTGGGTTGAAGTTTATGTATAGAGCTAAATGAAGAGACCCAAATAATGTATAGAGGCTACCACCTGATATACTTTAATAAATTGTGTATATAAATAAAATACTTATTATTATAGAAACCTATACACATATTTATAATAAAAATTAAAAAATCAATTTCAAGAAAACAAATATTATGAAAGTAATATAGAAAAAAATAAATACATTTTGAATTTATTTAAAATAAATTATATATTAAATCATACAAAATACTTATAATTTTTTTATAATTAAAGTATTGAATATTACAAAAGAATATATTTTTTATTATAGAGTAAATGGAGTGTTTTACAATGCCTTTGAAAATGTTTATAGGCAAATAAATATATAAAGTATATGTTACTTTCATATATCTTTTAACATAACTTCCAATAGGTATTTGAAAATATATAATATTGTTTAAAAAAAACTGTATTTATAATAAAATTATACATGATTTTTAATTTTAATTGAAAATATATTAAAATTGTTAATAAAATTGTATATGATTTTTAATTTTAATATGATCCTTAGTCGAATTATTAACATTTGTTTGCAATCTGAGCCGAAGTTTTAGCTTTAAAAATAATCTAATAGCTAAAACTAATCATTTTCTAGTATTTTTTATTAACAATTTTTATTAATTTTTATTTTATTAACTTTTTGCTAGGATGTACATATGTATATATCTAGATGTATAAACTGCAAATGAGCTTTAGTACTTAATTTTAACTAAATATTTTATGGAAATGAACCTTTAAAAATAAAATTATTGCCTTTTGCTTTTTTTTTTATATATATATATGATATAAAGAGATTGCAAATCTTCTTTTAATGCGGATTCTATTTAGTTTATTGTTTATTTATATATGCTTATCTAAGAAGAATTACGTATTACAAAATAGACTTTAATAATTGGATAAACAAGTGTCTGTTTCTGTTTGCATTTAAGCTGAGATGCAATAGCCAACGCCTGGAGCTGTCAATCGTGTTATTTGTGTGAGCCAATTCGCAGGATCGAATCGAAATGCAGCAGAGCATTCGCTAACAAATCCGCTTTGGCTGCAGAGCTGTGTAGCCCCGCCTCCTGCTTATGCCAATGTCGCCTTCTACCCGCCCCTGCTCCACCTTCGTCCTGATGTCTTAAGAGCTCGCTGTGTGGATTGTCATTTAGCTGTAAGAAACGACACCCGAAAGTGCGGGCATTAAATGAAAGTTGCACTTGCCCTCTTATTCTTCTTTTGCTTCTTCTGCTTTTGGCCTTATTTTCGTAGCCACTTCTTGTCCATTTTTGTTATCCACAATTGGCCTAAATTGCAAGCGCATAAAAAAGTGTTAAGCAGACGGAATGGGAAATTGAGTGTTGCCTTTTTCTACTGCCTTTGCCTCGCCTCTGCTGCTGCATAATGGCACCCAAGTGCCAAGTGTCAATTGATTTCTGGGCATGTGGGCGTGGCACTGTGTGTGTGTGTGTCTTTTGAAAGCGCATTAGTAGCTACACACACAAACACACACAAAACAAAGCTGATTGCATTAAAAGCGCAAATTGCTGCCAAAATTCAAGAGCTCAGCAAATACGAAACAAAAATGAAAAAAAATAAACTAAAATAAAAAAAAGTTAAAAAAAAAAATGGAGAAAATTTAAGCCAAGCTGCTTAGCAAAAACAAACAAAAAGTGAGACAACAATATAACTGTACTTATTTATATGGCCCATACAGCTACCAAAAGCTGGCCATGTACTTAGCACAGCTGCAACAGTCACACAGGCGATGTCTCTCTCTCTCTCTCCCTCGTTCACACACTCTCGCTGTCACTCTCTAGAGTGCTTAACAGCTCTCTGGCCTGTTTTGGCCAGACTTTTGTTACATTTGCCTTACTGCCCGTTTATGTAAAGCTTTGCAGCACTTAACTTGTTTTTACCTCAACGCAAATGATTTCAGACCAAAATGCAGTTAAAGTGCGAGCACTAAAAAATGGTTGGCCAAATGACAAATTTAATAATTTAATGCTTGATTTGCACTTAATGGAGTTTCAATGATAAATGAAACTATTTTCAAAAAATTTAAACAAACGGAGAATGAAAAATTTAAAATAAATATTTGAGAATAAAATTTATAAATCAAATATTATAATTTGGATTAAAGAAATTAATAAATGGTAAAGCAAATATTTTATATTATATTATTTTTAAACATTATAAATATAAATATAAATATAAATATAAATATATATATATATATATATATATATATATATATATTAATATAATAATCATATACAAATACAAAATAATTTAATTTAATTTTTTACGAATTACGAAATAATCTATATAATCTAACAATTAATAATGAATAATAATTATTAATTATTTTTTTTTTTTAGATTTGATGGCTTATTCATATTTAGTATTATATTATTAAATAATAATAAATAATATTTTTTTTATTATTTTGTTTTATGTCTTATTATTATTATTGTATATTATATTTTCTATAAGAATGCTTAACATGTCTTATTTCGGCCTTTAGTACAAAATCATCTGCACCTATCTCTGTCTCACCTTTTCTCTCTCTCTCTTCTATACACACATCGAAAATGTTATATTTCATTCGTTTTTGTTGAGATGGGAAGAAAAACTCTCTTCAAACTCGTATAAAAATAAATCTGTGCAACGCTCTGTGCGGACATAACCCACACTCAAATAAATCAGTTTAATGTGTACTTAATATTTGCCATTAAGTTTTTATTACTTTTCTGTGCTGGGCCGAAGCATTGCTTCGAGCAACTGCTCAGCTGAACAGGTACATAAATCGGGTTAAAAACACCGTTAAACCAATTTAGGCCACACACACATACTCACACACACACACAATAAAATATGTCAATTGGTTTGGCACAGCAAATAAACGATTTGCGTTTAATTTGTGACTGTGTGCAAAGAGAAGTCTTCCTTTTCTTCCTTCTATATCTTTTTCTCCTTTTTGGATTGATTCATTAAAATTGAAATAGAACATGTATCAGTAATATAGTAAAGAAAATATACATATAAAAAGTAATTTAATTTAGAACTAGAATAGAACTAAAGAAATATGATGTTTATAGCAAAGTTACCTTAAAATATGTTGAATAGTATCCTATATATATATATATTCTGTCAGTCAAATACATATATGTGATTGCTATCAAAGCCAATAAGTATTATTCTTAATTTTACCCATTGAAAATGCGAAATTTGGGTATAATGGTTTTATCAAAATGTATGTAACAGACAGAAGGAGGCGTGGCAAATGCCATAAGATATTTATATATATCCTTGATTAGGGCGACGAGTTGAGTCGACATAGCCCTGTCCCTCTGTCTGTCAATCTCAGAGTCTGACAGAGCTAGAGACTTGCATGTGTGTATGTGTTGTTTCTTGGGTATGCAGAAGAGATCAGTATATCAGTTCTACGTAAGAGATCGGAATATAGGTAATTAGAATATCAGCTCTACCTATGGAACTGTTCTAACTGTTCTAAGAACAGAATTTAAACAGTCAAGCAACTTGAAGTGACAACTGCCATTGTCTGGCATCGCTTTGCATCTGCAACATCCGATGTTTGGTGAGCAGCTACGTGATTTATGCAACGGTGATTAGTGGCACAAATCAATGGAGGCAGCCATAATTGTGGATATGTTCGCCAAATCAATTGTACACACAGCGTGGGCTGCTCTGATGGCTGTTGCCGGTTGCTGGTTGCTGGTTGCTGGCGAAGCAACAGGAAACGTCAAACACTTCAGATGGCAAAAACAATGCGCTCAAGTGGCATGTGGCATGTGGCATGTGGCAGGCGGCATGTGGCATGTGGCACAGCATGCAGCGCTTGGCATGTTGCAGACATGTGGGCGTGCCGCATGGCACTATTAGCAACATGTGTGGCTGCCATTGTTCTCGCTGCCATTGTCCGTTGTCCATTGTCCACGACAACAACATCAACAGCAACGACAAAAGCAATAACAACAACAACAAAGTCAAATGCCACAAATGCATTGCCAACTACAACAAATAATATCGCAAATTTCCAATTCTAGTAATATTGCTTGAATTGCAACACTTGCCACGCCCACATGCATTGAGCCCGATGAGCTCTATGGAGCGTTGCTCAAGTATTTTTGCAATAATTCCAATAGATTTGAAATTACTAAGAAAGTCATATTAAGGTTTTGTCCTCAAATTTTTGATTGTTCAACAAAATTTTATAAAAAAAATCCCTAAATAACAAATCTAAGTATATAAATTGAAAACTCATATTTAGGTAACCTCTGTATAAAACCAAATTTATAGCATATGCTTTATATGAATGTAAAAAATAAACATATTCAGGGAATATAAAGCTGAATGAAAAGATAAATAAATAAATAATTAAAAATAAAATTTTAAAAATAAAAAATTACATAAATTACATAAAATTACAAAAAATAAAAATGTTCATGGGATATAAAGTTTAATTTAAAAAAAAAATGTACATAAATTGCCTACAAAATAAATATTTATTGATTTATTCTTTGTATTCTTTCTTTGTTAAACAAAACTTTGTAAAAAATAAAACTAGAGTAAAAAAATAGATAAAAAAAATTCTTAACCAACATATCGAAATATCTCAGTTGAAGAAACATATGTAGCTACCCTCTGTATATAATTGTAAAAAACAAAAAATAGGTTCAAAGGAAATGAAGCAAATATTAACAATAAATAAAAAAAAAAAAAAAAATAAATAAATAAATTGAACAAATTGCCTAGAAAAGAACTTTTTATTTTATATTAATGGAAATCTTCGGCTTCACTCCACAGTGCGTGCGAGTCAGGTGAGTGGTGCAGTTCATGCATAAATTAAACAACGCCAAGAGTCAAGTCGAGCCCACTGAGTGGGTTTTCTTGTGTGCAGGTGCAGGTGCAGTTGCCGGAGCCCGTACGGAGACGGTTGTCTGTATTAGCTACTGGTGTTGTTGAGCAAGCGTGCATGTTCCTATTATCAATGCACTCAGACATTATCAACACACATACACACACACACACATACAAACTGAGAGAGAGAGAGAGAGAGAGCTTAGACGATGGCATGCATAAAACATGTATCGACAGTGTGGCAGCAAATTGAATCAATAATATCCAATCATGGGTTAACAATGCGAATTGATTTCTAGCTGGCATGCCACATGGGACACATGAGATGCGTTTTCAGGGTGCAACTAGATTCCAGGGCTACAAACGTATGCAAACAAGGCAGACCGAAGATAATAATAACAACAACAACAAACACAACTGCAGACACTTAACGAAAATCACCTGCATTCAATCAGCCCTCTCTCTCTCTCTTACTCTCTCTCTCTCTCTCTCTCTCGTCTCAAGTGCTCATGTAAATATTAATTAAGTTTTGGCTTTTGTTAAATTGGCCATGTGTTATTGTCCAGCTGGCCAAGTGGACATGAGACATCATCAAGGGTCAGAGTCCTTGCATCCTTGCAAGCATCTGATGTGATCAGAAATATTATTATATTAGTCGCCTAGTTAGTTGCTGCCGTTGGCCTTTGCTTAATCAATTTAGCTAAAAGCTCCGTTTTGGCTTTTCCATTTAATTAGTTGACAAAAAGTGGAATTTAATTTAACACTAATTTGCTATATACATAGCTCTTCTTCTTATTTAAGCCTATTGTACTCGGTTCTCAATTGACAAAAGAGCGTGTATTGCTTTTGAGCAAAGTCCGCCGTGGTGTCCGTCCGTCCGTCAGTTCGTTTGAATGCAAACTATTTCGATGATATTGAAGCTAGATATTTGAATTGGTATATACATATATATATGTATATATACCAAGTCTGATCTGTTCGATTTACTCACAGTCAATTCGTAATTATCAAAACATAATTTATAATTGAAAAGCTAACTTTACCCTAAGCTGCATTCAATGATAATCTATAAATACTTATATATGCATTTATACAAATATACATAAATATGTATATATACATATACATATACATATATATATATTATATGCTATTCATGCAATCTGAAGGTCTCAATTTCAATTTGCAACTTGCCTGAGCGCTCAACTTGCTGCACGGCCATAAAAATTATTCCAATTGCGAGTGCAATTCGCGAAACTTTAGCAAATGGCGTCGCCAACTGGCGCTAACTGAAGCGCCAACTTTTCACATTTTCATTACAAGTTTCTCCTCAATTCACTGTCAGGCCAAAGCTGAGCGCTTCGCAGCGCGCCGCCTTCAGGATGTGCTTCAAATTAATTTCCATGAAATATTGCGCATACGCAGCGTTAACTCTGCTAATTGTCACGTAATTGAAGTCAACATGCAACTTTAGGCAATACAAATATTTGTTGTAAAATTATATTAATAATTAATAATGGTAAAAATGTTTAACCCGCAAACTTTGGGTGTCTAAAAAGACGAAAAAAATGTTTTTTAAATGTAAAGTAAAATATTTTAACTAAAAAATAATAAATACATTTTTAAATGTTGTTGAAACACTTTTTATACCCTGAACCCATTAAAAATGGGAAATCAGGGAATAATCGTTTTGTTGAAATGTATGTAACAGGCTGAAGGAGGCGTGGCAGACCCCATATATGCTTGATCAAGGCGACGAGCTGTGTCGATTTGGCCCTGTCCGTCTGTCTGTCCGTCCGTCTGTCCGTATGTATGAACGCGTCGATTTTAGAAGATATAGGAGCTAGAGACTTCAAATTTTTTTAAATGTCCGTATTTACAGCGCGGATATCGAGTTTATCATTAAAAATCGATAGCTCATCTCGATCTTTTTTATCGATAAAAACCCTTATCGAAAATCAGTTATAAAATTATATCTCCCACATCTTTAGAGCTACAGTCTCCAAATTTTGAATGTATATGCATTTTATACAATTTCGGTTTTTAAAATTTACCCTCGACCCCATGTTTGTAAATGGCGTATTTCAAATACTAGAAGCTTGTGCTTTGACATGTGTGTATGTGTCTCTGTAGGTTTGTGTGTATGCGTAGGTGTGCGTGTGTGTTTGTGTGTGTGTGTGTGTGCGTGTTTCTTGTGTAAGCAGAAAGACGCGAAAAATTATTGAAATAGCTATTGCTCGAAGGGTTCAGGGGATCTCGTAGTTGAGCACACTCGATTAGAGCTTTCTTACTTGTTAATCATTAAAATATGTATGTATATCATTTAACATATATTTTAGCTATATATTTAATTTTTTAGTTTTGGTCTATATAAAAACTTTTTAACAAAAATAAAGAAAAACTCATTGATTGAAACTAAATAATTAAACTATAAATGTACATTTATATTTCCTTTATATCTCTTCTAGTTTAGATTTTATAGATGCCCAAATATAATAATAAAACTTTTTTTTTAAATAAATGAGCTAATTTATTTCATAAATAAAATTATGCCTTATCAATATTTATATCAGTGCTAGCGCTAGTGTTGCTCAATTCGTTTCAGTGGAATATTAGCGAGCACTAAAACCGAGCGGACCCCTGACAGAGATGCCAGATGTCTGGGCACTGATGACTGATGACTGGTGAAAAAGGCAGACTAACCGACTCTCGAGGAGAGAGTCTGAGTGCACTAAGACGACATATGAAAAGATTACAAATTTAAAAAATGTATATACATATATGGGAACAGATCAGATCAGAGTAGCGCCAATATGTATGCATGTATGTCAGATTTTGTAATTCAAAGATAATTTAGACAGATCGAACATGACTTGTTAAATTTGCACTTAGAGGTAATCGCTATCTGGCAATGGAGTTGGTTCCGGATGCGTCTCATCGACGCCATCAACAAATATCATAATCACACCCAGCACCGGGCGAAGATTCTCGGGCATGTGCGCATTGTCGCCGCCCAGAATGACCGCGCACGGCTTCCCAGTGATCACAACGGGCAGCAGACGCGTCACAAACTGCGCCAGCCGATGCAAATTCAAGCGACGCATCTCGAGCGTAGTCAGGCCCTCCGGCCAGCTGTCTTCGTGACAGCAATCGAGCAGGATCTCCATTAGGTGCATCGGACAGCCACTGGCGCGCAAGCCCTCGCGCACCATCAGTCGCATGGGCATGTCCGGGGTGGAGATGAGGCTGCCCCAAGTGCGAACCGAGGCCAGCGGCAGGCCGCGACCCCAGCGCATCAGAGCATACCGATCCAGCTGGTCGCCAACCGTGCGAATTACCGGATTTGTGGCTCTTAGTGTCGCTATATAATACTGCAGCAGCTCCAGCTCGCGCCGATGCTCGCCCAGCCGCCGCTCCTGATGGGCCTGCATGTCGCGCAGCTCGGGTATCGCATTGATGTGGTCCTGCAGCTGCTGGCGCAGCTCGAACACACAATTGTGACGGCTCAGCTCGTCCTTGGGCACACGCATGCCGCAGCCCTTGTTGCAGACGACCACAACCTTGGGATTGTTCTGGCAGTTGGCCACATGATCGCGATACTCCCCCAGGGGCATCAGCGCCGTGCAGCCGTTCTCCGCGAAGCAGCACTTGATCTTCAAGCGGGCCAGCATGTTGCGCATGAGGCGGGAGACGGGAACCAAATGGATGGGCAGCAGATCCGAGCGATCCACTGGACAGATTTGCTTCTCCTGCATCCACTTCTCGATGCAAAAGCGACAGAAGGCATGCTCACAGCTGGACGACTGCATTGGCTCCTCCAGCACATCGGCGCAGATGGGGCAGAGCAGCTCCTCGTCGACGTGGCCAACAATTAATGCCAGATCGTAGCCCATGATGAGCTATAACTATGATTACTATACGCTAAATTAGAAATATGTAAAACTGGGGCAGATTGTACACATGTATTTGTTTTGTAGCCCTTGAGCTATTGTGTGGTTGCCACTCGACCTTGCACTGGATGTTTGCAGATAGAAATAATACGATTTTATCCTAAATTTCGACTCGAAATGTGAGAGTAATGCCACAGTAGAGACTCAAAAATTTTGATTTTGATTTTGATTTTATTGCAAATGTCGAAAGTGTTGAAAATGTCAGCCAACAAGCGACAAATTCCCAAATAAACACACAGTTCGATTGTCAACGTTCGAAAGGTTAATTCTTATTGGAGAAAGCGATAGTTCTGAAGTAACATTATATATCGATATATTGATCGATCATCCCTAATGTTAATTTGCATCTATTGCAGCTTTTAGAATTATAATAGGTAAACGTATGTGGAATATAGTTTATAAAAATATTTAATTTTCCTATTATTATTAAAAATCAAGTAAAATTACATTTTATATTTTTGTCAATTTGCTCGCAAAACATGGCTGATTAAAAATGTAGTTTGCACATCACATTATTCGTACTCCTGTGAATGTTCATCACAGGAGTACCCCTAAACAACATACACATGTGTACGAATGTCAGTGGAGATTCGAAGCAGCAGTAACTGAAAAATTTATTCGAGATTCTTGTAAAAATTTGTTGAAAAACTCAGCACAGATCAACTCAACTGCCGGCTGAGACGCAACTCTCATATTTCGAAACGAAATTAATGAAAAATCAAATATTTCGGCTTCTGTCGGTAGCATACACGCGTAAGTGAGGGTAAGTGAGCCAATTGCAGCAGTTGGGCAACTGAATTTACATATATACATATATGCTGTATCTGCGTGTAATGTAAGTCGTTTCGTTTAGCGATTAGAATTCAGAACCAACTAGTCAAACTACCAACCAATTATGGGCTACGACCAGGGCTTAATTGTTGGCCACGTCGACGAGGAGCTGCTCTGCCCCATCTGTGCCGATGTGCTGGAGGAGCCAATGCAGTCATCGAGCTGTGAGCACGCATTCTGTCGTTTCTGCATCGAGAAGTGGATACAGGAGAAGCAAATCTGTCCAGTGGATCGCTCGGATCTGTTGCCCATCCACTTGATTCCCGTCTCCCGTCTCATGCGCAACATGCTGGCACGCCTGAGGATCAAGTGCAGCTTCGCGGAGAACGGCTGCACGGCGCTGATGCCCCTGGGGGAGTATCGCGACCATGTGGCCAGCTGCCAGAACAACCCCAAGGTTGTCGTCTTGTGCAACAGAGGCTGCGGCATGCGTGTGCCGCGGGACGAGATGAGCCGTCACAACTGTGTGTTCGAGCTGCGGGAACAGCTGCAGGATCAGGTGAACGAAATATCCGAGCTACGGGAAATGCAGGCCCATCAGGAGCGACGCTTGAGCGAGCATCGACGCGAGCTGGAGCTGGTGCAATACTATGTGGCCGCACTGAGATCCACGAATCCGGTTATACGCAATGTGGGCGACCAGCTGGATCGCTACTCGCTGATGCGCTGGGGTCGCACCCTGCCGCTGGCCACGGTTCGCACTTGGGGCAGCCTCATCTCCACTCCGGACACGCCCATGCACATGATGGTGCGCGAGGGGCTGCGCTCCAGTGGCTGCCCGATGCACCTGGTCAATGTGCTAATGGACTGCTGCTACGAGGACAGCTGGCCGGAGGGCCTGGCCACGCTCGAGATGCGTCGCTTGAATCTGCATCGGCTGGCACAGTTTGTGACGCGTCTGCTGCCCGTTGTGATCACTGGGAAGCCGTGCGCGGTCATTCTGGGCGGCGACAATGCGCACATGCCCGAGAATCTTCGCCCGGTGCTGGGTGTGATTATGATATTTGTTGATGGCGTCGAGCCGGTGCCTTCGGATCCGGCACCAATGCCGGACGGCGACTACCTCTGAGTGCAATTCGTAGACGTTGTTTATTCGTGTTCGATCGATCCAAATTAATTTTCGACAGCGATGAGATTAAACCAAACCCAAATGAAAAGCAAAACCCAAAACGAACAAACAAACTAAAATATAAATATTACAAATTTGCTGCAATTTCTTACATTTCGCGTTCGGCATCCATTGGAGTGGGATGCACTTAAACAATGTTGCCTGTGTGTCTAAAAATTATATCATCTAAGTTCCGTACACAATTCTGCTCAAGCAAAAACAACAACAAAATTTAATGGTTGGGATACATATGGGAAGCAATAAAAAATCGCCTCGATGAGGGAATCAAATCTACAAGTGAGACACAAATACGAACATAAACAAGAAAGACACAAAAAATAGAATTAATAAAAATAAAATAAAGGAATTTACTGGTCAGTTTACAAAAAAAAAAAAAACATTTTGTCTAAAAAAAACTAGATTTTATGCAATTAATTATAGTTATCTTGATCTGTGTTCAAATTTTCTTGAGAAATGTTTATATATTTATGTATATGTGTGTAGATATACATATGTATGTATATAAATATATTTATAAATCAACGTTTTGCATTAAAATAATTAATTAATAATATTTTAACAAAAGTCTGGCAACCAACTTCATCCGAACAAAATTTAATTGATTTTTTGTGGCAGCTATATTTTAGTTAATTTAATGAAGAATTTATTTTCTGTATTGAATTTATTTTATTTATTAAATTGTTTTACATTATTAAATTAACTAAAATATAGCTTCCACCAGTTTTGTATTGCAATTTGTATTTTGTTATATATAATAAATATATAAGCTATAAGTCTTTACCTATACAAAATATTTAATATATTATAATATTATATCATGTAGTATATCATTCAGATTTGTAAGGAAAATAGAGTATTAAAAAAATTAAAATAAAATATTAAACAGAATTTTAAAAATAAAAGTAAATAAATAGGAAAAAAAAAAACAATATAAAATATGTAACATCGATAAAGTCTATTCTAGGCTTGGGCAAGCGGATATGGATATGGCCAGATGGAACTGTTCACCTAACGGATCAAATATGTTTATATTTCCATTGTCAATAGTCTCTCGATATGGAAGTTCCTAAATTTCTGCTGCAAACTTATTTCTGAAGGAACTTTACAGATCATCAATTCCCCGACTGGAAGTCAAAACAATATTCTTAATTCATATGCGACACACTAAGCACCGCTTAGAAGTAGAAGACCAAGTGGAAGTGGAAGAAGAAGACGGAAAGATGAGAAAAGCAAACGCATATATTTGCTTGACTCATTTCCATAGACAAGAGGCTGAAAAGCCTTTGCATATTTATGGCAGAAGCAAGCTGCAGCGGAAGCTATGCAAATTGGAAAACTTCTGCCAGAAGACGACACCATAAACCATAAAGCGTTTGCTAACTGCCAACTGTTATTGTTGTTGGGCAAACAAATTTAGCAAATATTATTTATAAAGTGAAATTTTAACAAATTAACTGCGAATGGAATGCCACAGCCACAACCATACGAACAAAAAATAAACTAACTGGCCCAAATGCTACCTTTTTCCTGGGTCCATCCATCCCATTACGAATGCCCGGCCATTGAGCATATCATATGAATAGTAAATTTTGTGCAAACACTTAAGCAAATTTACACAAGCGCACAAGCATGCTTGCACTGCCATATTGTAATGTCAAAATATTTACACTATAATCTGAACACACACACACACAGCCAATGACAATATGTGTGTATATGTTTGCATTTGGTTTTAAATTTTATTTCATTTTGGTTATAAATTTTCATGTTTTCCCTTCGGCCAGCATACTTTTTGTGACAACTGTACGCAACTATCTGTGCGTTTACTTTTGTCCAGTCGTCCGTGTGTGTGTGTGTGTATGAGTGTGTGTGTCAAAAACTTGAGCAGTGCTTCGTTGAATTGCCATTTCAGTTTTCTATGCATCTTATGTGACTCTAGATGACCAGAAAGCTTCAACTTATCATTCAGTTCGCTTATCTATAACAGCAGCAGGAGCAGGAGCAGGAGATGCAGGAACAGCAGCTGGAGCAGCAAATCCCAGCTGAGCCTTACAATGGTCCTGTATGTGGTCAACTTATATTCTTCTTCCTGTTTTTGTGTTGTATTTCTATTTTTGAAGCCACGGAAATTCGTTACGAATTCGAAAACTAGCAGCAGCAGCTGCCTCCAAATAATTTTGATTATGCTCGTGGATCACTTTTATAAATATAATATTCTTCTATTTCCCTCGCCTTGCGCAAAGTTAGCTTAACAATAATCTGAAAATATACACTTAATATAAATTTATTTTGGTTTTCTATTTAACTTTGTAAAATGAATTCTTTTCTAATTCTTCCTAAATGGTTGACATTTTTATTTCAATATTTTTCCATATTTTTTTTTAATATTGAAAAGCGGCAAATGGAAAAAAATAATTATTTATTTATTTATTCTTGAAATATTAAAAATGTATTGATGTCTAGTACTCCTGTCATCTAATTGCTTGACTTGTCTTTTAACTATACATACATATTTATTTTTTCAGTTATTGAAAATATTTTAAATATTATATTAAATATGAAATATTATATTATTATTCGATATAGCACACTTTGCTCTTTTAAATTACTTGCAGACTTACAATTAATCCAAATAAATATATACATACATATATCAATAAATAATATTTTTATGTTTTATCAGCTGCTGAAGCGCATTGAAATATTATCAACATATTTTCATTTGACTTAGTTTGCGATAGAGCAACGATTTCTCTGAGGGACAATCGAAACCATGGCCACTGAACCAGCTAATTTAATAAGTCAAACGCAATGTAAACAACCAAGTTAACGCACACACACAAGTATAAGCACACACTCTCTCTCTCTCTTTATTTTCTTCCTCTCACTCTCATACACGCACAACAATATTTTTCCAATTGAACTGATGCCATTTAATGAAAATCAACACTTCCGCCCTGCTAGACATCAACGAATATGAATCGGAGAATATGCCACAACTACAATGTGTATATGTGCCTGTGTGTGTGTGTGTGAGTGCTCGTGTTTATGTGTAAGTGTAACGAGCTACAAATGCTTACCGCAAATTGTATACATATTTGCATTTAGATTTGTTGTACTCGTCGTGTTGCCATTTCATTGCGAAAGACAGACGTGACACATTCGCCTCAAACAGCCTCAAGTTCAGCCCGCTGTACCCCCCTCTCCCTTCACAAAGGCATTGCCATAGTCATGCTGATTATGATTCGAGTGGCGAGAAAGGGTATATTGTGGCATGGGCAAAATAAAACATTACAAAATTGACTAAAAAATTATATATTGCAAATAAATGAATGTATTATTAATTATATATATGTACATATAATTACATACATATGAATGTTCATATATGCGGCTTATACATACATACGTATAATTATATAAATTAAACTCAAATTAATACAATTTACATACATATATATTTTAAGAAAAATATAACTTTTTACATGCGTAAATTTAATATTTACTATTTAATATATACTATTTAATAAGTACTAATTTATTTTTTTTATTATTTATACATACATATTTTATTTTCAAAATGTATTTAACTTTGCAGCCTCCGCACTGCCCCTTTCATCCAATAATAAGCATATCTGCAATGCATATCGTAGCGTACCAATTGAACCTAAATAGCCAGACCCTCGACTAGCTGGTAGATTCGCCTCCTGCTCACAAATATTGTTGAACAAAATTACCATGAATAACTGTCATTTGGCTGCTGTCAGTGTCGCGTTGTTGTTGCTGTTGCTGTTGCTGTTGCTGCTGTTTGGCTCTAAGTCGTGCACATTATTTGGTAACGTGTATGGGTGAGTGTAAGGACCGCAGGACATCATGTCTGGGGAACCAAGGCGGGGCCTTGCAAGCCGGTCAGTTGGCATCGGTACATGGCCAAGCGGTCACGTTCGCATTGTATGACCGGGACGTGCAATTTTTAGCTGGACACAGGACAAGGACATTGCGCAATAAGCACAAGTTTTATGCAATAAAATTAGCCCAAAAAACCCCCACACACACACACACACACACACATAGAAGAAGAACAAGATGATAGAGACAAACACACGCAGAACTTAGCTGCTCCTGAGCTGGCTGATAAGATAATTTTATTTTGGCCGTTATTGCATAAAGTCATGTGAGCTGCGGAAATGAGTTGAGCTGAAGTAAACCGTTACGTGACAGCTAGCCTTGGCCGGATACGTGAGCCAGCGGATCAGCTAGGGGCAACACACTGAGCCAGCAGCAGCAGCAGCAGGAGGTGTAAATGGATTCTAATAAGATAATTGACTTGTTTGCGGATTGATCCAAGTGCCTGTTAAATTCCAACTAGAGTAAAGGTCGCTATGTGGGCGGGGATGAGGGATAACGAATTTTCAGAAGATTAAATTAACCTTATCCTTAACCTTCTCTACAAATAAAAAGATAAATGTACATACATATGTACATACATAAATATATATATGTACATATTTTTATTTATAAGTGTTATTTACTAATTAAATTTAAATTTAAATACATCATAAGGCTGAATTATGTTTTATATACATATATACATACATATGTACATATGGATGTTTATTCATTTTAAACTACTTTTCCCATCTTTACGAATAATCTTTATCGATTCCTGATTATTGCATACATACTCCATACCACATTCCACATACCCAATAATTGTAGGGTACTTTTGCATATTCTTACCGTAATATTTATTTCTTTCTCCCCTCCACATTCACATTCTATTTGCTTATCAAAGTGTGTCAGCGCCACAAAGTCTTTACGGTTAAAATAACTCAAATGAAAACATCAAACAGTTTTCAGCTGACCTTTTAACTTCGTCAAATTCACCTGATAACTGTTTATTCAAAAAGTGATGCCGTCAAAACAAGAAAGCGAAAACAAACCGAGCAGCGCACAAATTAGACAAAAGCTAACGGGGCTGGCCACTGAATCGTTACGCACTCAAACATCACTAAATCGCGCACACAAATATGTATGTGCATAAATATATATGTAGAATATGTATATGCATACATACTAACAATTGCACATACATATGTATGTATACGCCTTGCCATAGGCCTTTCGCATAATTTGCCTTTAACTATCGAGCGATGGATATTATGAATTTATTACGAGCTTTGCAATTTTTATTTTAAGTAAATATAATGAGACATACATACATACACATATATGCATAATAATATATATACATATGTATATGTATGTACATATATGTATGTATATAATAATTTTGTATGTGATTCGGTGCGAAAAATTAAGCGCGCTAATCGCGATTCGCGATCA